ATATATATATATATATAGAATATCATATAATTTTCATAATATTTTTAAATAAATGTTATTTTTTTAATACTTTTTTACTTACTGTAATCGCGCCTAACATAATTAAAGTATAATGCTCGATTCCCAGGATCGACGTCATTAACTTCAAATCTCTCTCGACAGTAAAGGGCACTGCAATTATTTATCAATTTACATTTATTGACTTCTTGATTACAGATGTATAGTTAAAAAATTTTTCAGTTATTGAAATACTATAATACCTTTGAAATACTATCTAATAATACAATAATTATTACCTTCTTGATTATTCCTATGGCGTGATGACATCCTAGGAATTTTATAATTTATTGTGCGTATTATGTCAAAAGCCGTGACTACCTGACGAAATTGTTTATTAATAGTATGTAGCACTTAAATGTTTATTTTTTTTTTATCTGATATATGTATTTAAATTAGCAACATGGGAGTATTACGATAGACTAACGGTCCCAATGAGGCCCAGAATAATCACATATAATGAGCTACCCATTACATAATTATTGCACAAGGAACAGGCCATTCGTCCGATTTTCTGCAAAATAAAACTAATATTATTACGACAACAAAAATAATTGTTTTTGAAAATTGTAAGAAACATTTAATTACTAAATGTCCACTATGAACTTTGAAATTTCGTCGACTATGAAAAGCCATAATTCACTTTATATCCCAATTTTTTGAGTCTGGAAAAATTGTGTTCCTTCTTTAAATTAAAATATAAATACAAAATGCAAATATGTTAAATAGTTTAAACGTTCCGTTTAATAACGGATATGGATTCAACTAATTTTATTATATTCGCACATTTACTTTCCGAAAATTTTAGAGGTTTGTTTTTCGCTCTATGAAATTGCACCTTCATGCATTTTCAATATATCGCAATTAAAACATGAGCTATAAATTAATATATGTGAATTGAATGTATTTAATGTAATCAATTATTCCAAGCAAATCAATATAATTGGATCAAACATACTCGATATAATTTTAACATAAAGAACAGATTTTTGACAGGATTATTTCACACGATTTCATATTTATTCGTACAAATACATAAATTGTGTAAATAATACGTAACGTGTTAATAAAAAATAGCTTATAGTTTTTAAAATCGATTTGCGTAGAATCATAAACGAAGTCAATAACGTGAAGTTTTGCAATTATAACAAAATAATTATGTAATTCTATTTTTTCTTTTTATCATCGTTACATTACATTGATTAATTGATTTTCCATTCTACAATACTTTTTAATCTTTATCTCGTTTTGCAAATTTATCAGTTTGCTGCGTAATTTCTATATTCTTTGTTACATGTGTATACTATTTATTACTTAAAATAATATAAGGCATAATTAACATAATGTATATGCATTTTAAGTATACTAATATATTCGGCTGATAAAAACAAATTATTAATCATTTACGTGATCTATCAATGATAATGGATCACCAATCAAGTCGCGTTCAAACCATTCATGAAGATTATCTAGAAAGAATGAAAGAACATCGAATAAAAACGGTACATTAATATAATGTTATAATATTTACATACGTTATAATATAATAATAATACTTGTTTTTTAGTTGCATATGTATGGCCCACGCTCAAGGCATGGAATATACATATAATACACAAAATATCTACTTTATAGATAGAAATATAATTATACGTGGGCAGTTTGAGTCCGTGACATTTTAAAAGAAGACTATGTTAAAAAATAATTCAAATAAAAAAAAGTTTAAACAAATTTTAAAAAGTCATTCATTCACCAAATTGTCCTCGAACATAATAAGTTTTTCATATTTTTCTTAATAATATGAATTCAGTATACTTCAATTTTTTGAAAAACGAATTCTTTTTCACGATTTTGTTTATCTTTTTGCAGCTAACTGAAGCTAAAATATCACCTCATTTATTTAAGACTCATTCCCAAGTAATTGAGAAAGATGAGAAATCGCTGAAAAAGAAAACGTTTTCTTACCACGAAGGTTTCAAGATAGTCAGAGCAATGTCGTTGGCATTATTGATATTGATTTTGTGCTATTACGGATCAACGGAATACAATGTTTTGCAGAATGGGCAGATTCTTCACGGTTTCCCCTCCAGAAAGGCCGTCTTGACATTTAGTTTCGGCTATTCCATCTCACGCACTATATTATCTGTAGTTACAGTTGGCATGCTTATTTATTCCATTGTACTGGTAAAGAAAATTATTATCAACTAATATATCTAGTTTTTTAACTACTTTTCTATGTTTCCATTTCATTTTATAAATCTTAATTACACATTTTAGAAGCAGCCGCAACTTAGTTTGCCTTTCATAGGCTTCTTTTTAGCCGAGTTGGTGTGCGATTTCTGTGATGTGATCATAATGATCTGGTATTTCTTCGAACATCTTCAAATACAAACTGCATTACTTTATACTGCAGGACTTCTTCTGTTGCTCCGTAAATATTTTTATCCGTTTTTCATTTTTTACGGAAAAACAATTATTGCAAACAGAACTCTGATACATGTACGGGTTGTAATTCACCCGAAAACGCTCGTAGGCAGGTAGAGCGGACTAAAATAGTCCGCTGCAAAAAATTGCGAGAGACAAAAATTGTTTATTTTCTTCTCATAGAACTCTAAGAATTTTTTCAGAATTTTTCTATTAATTTTTTAGTACTGCATTTTCTTATTTTTACTAACATGAGAAAATACGGTATTAAAAAATTCTAAAAAAATTCTCAGACCTTTATAAGAAAAAAATAAACAATTTTGTCTCTTACAGTTTTTCAGTTTGTGAAGTTGATAGTATTTGAGGAAAAAATTATTGAAGACCAATATTCAGCAATTTTTAGTAATTAATATCTTGTTGACCATTGCGAAAATTACAAAATGGTAAAGGATTTTTCGACTCAGTTTAGTCCGCTGTCCATAACCGTTTTCGAGTGAATTACAGAACACCCTGTATGTATCTCTTCTGTTCACAATAAAATAAACAAGCTATTATTATAGTAGTAACTATATAATCTAAGTATAATCTAAGTATATATAGAAATAATTTCAGTCAAAGTAGAATTTTATTAAAATCTTTATACTTTCTCTCTCTCTCTCTCTCTCTCTCTCTCTCTCTCTCTCTCTCTCTCTCTCTCTATTTCAGTAATTTAAAAAATATTATATGAAAAAAAAATGTCATGTATTTAAGATCTGCCTCATTTATTTATTATTTATTTTATATAGTTTATTGTCATCTTTTTATTAATTTTTATATAATAAATATTTATATATACGTCAATTTTTTTATATTTAGTGACAGAAGTATGGACATGGCTGGATATTGTGTGGCTCTACGAACATCGAAACTTCAAAATATGCTAAACAATGATGATAAATATCAAGATAATGGAAATCGATAAAAATTTAAATTTCTAATTATTTTCCGAATTTCGTATTCCTATACTGTATACACGTTCTTCTCATAAATCTTTTCAAACAAATCACACATATGATGATTCTTAAAAATTAAAAATATATTTATTTCCAAAACATATAATTTTTTAATTTCGTAATAGAATTTATTTTTCATGTCAATAAAATATAATCATTGCAGATTTTTTTATTAATTCTTTTTTATATTTATGTTTCAGAAAGATTGTATTAAATTGTATGAAATGAAAATTATATCTTCTATGACTTATATAATTAAGTATTTGGATTATATTGTAAGTTCCCAAGATTTTCCAGATTTATACACCGTAGGACAATCGAAAGCGTTGACCGAACAGTGCGATTTTAAATCAAGCACTCGCACTTCGGTACAGTTATCAATCCTAAAAAGACAAGAGTTCACAAATATATATGACAACGTTCTGACATACCTCATAAGTAGAGAAAAACCGCCTATTATGAGATAGGAGCCTAATATGAGATAGCGGCGTTTCCGCTAAAGTAGTAAACGCTCTATTGGTTCCACTATGAATTTATTGTTCTTGGATTGAAAACTATTTAGTGGAAAATTCATTATTAGATTGTGTCTGTAATAGTTGCAAAAAAAGATTTTAAAATTTAGATGTCTTCAAGTTTCTTTGAGATGAGTTTTTAAATCTTATTTATTATTTAATAAGTAAATATTTAGCAATAAATTCTTCATGAGTAAGATCGTACTAATAGAAAAATACGTGATATGTTGAATTGCTTAATTATAAAAGTTAGATTTGATGATGGTAAAACCGTAAAGCATGGAAATCATAATATGAGATACCCAGGGTATTTCTAATATGAAATAATCTATGCTCCTATATCATAGTGAAAATCGTTGCTGAAGTATAAATATTATACATTAATAAAAAAGATAATCGAAATAAACATCGAGTGCCTGTTTCTGCGATACTTGGTTCCAACTATCTGAATACGAGTCAGCTAAGTGATGACAATGCATCGCATACTTATTTTGTACGTGCACTGTGTTTATTTGTATTTTAGAAATATTAAATAAAGTTTTTTAATTGCAATACTGATGTACTTTGCGTTTTATTATTTCTCGGAACATCTCATATTAGGAGCACAATTTTTTGACTTTGCGATTTTTGCTCACTTTTTACATTTCTTTAATTTATAAAAAAAAAATAAAATTTGAATTAAATTTTACATAACATTATCTTAAAGCTCATTAAATTCTCTTCAAAATGACATATTATTTTTTAAAATTCTATTTTCTAATTTCCCTAGATTTTTTGCATTTACCTATAATAAACTCGGTATCTCATAATAGGGGTCTTTCCTCTATATGTATACCTCGGACAAAATTTGTTCAATGCATCTTTCAAACTATAAATTTGCGTTGCATTCTTGGATATTTCCTGCATTAGAAATCCTAGAAATGCTTGACAATGCACATCTGTCGCTTGTAAATCAATCGTTGGATCAATCGTAACTAATTTGTCCGGCATACAATCTCGTTTTCCCACTTTACTACAAAAATAAAACAGAAGTGTTGAAAATAGTATTAATTATTTATCTTTATTATCTTTTTTAAGTGTTTACCTACTTACTTCCATCGTGATTTATTGATGACTGATAAATTGCAATATGCACTGGGATGCATTGCAACTCCGGGGAAGTTCCAAAGCAGATACGCTCTCGCCGCCATCAGCAACAATTCATTATTCAAATTTTTTGCAATACTCGATAATTTTGTTCTAGCAAATATAATATTAAAATATAATTTTATTGGCAAACTTAAATAAACAAAAAAATAATTCAATTTTAAATAGACAAAAAGAATTCGTAGTGATAATATTATGTGACATTTTATATCATATATGTATGTATGTCTAAAAAAAATCATGTTTTATATTCTAAAAAAATTATCTTTTAAAAAAATTATCTTTTTATTATTATATGCTAGTGCTTCAAAAATTATTTTTTATAATTATTAAACATAGTATTATATATTAAAATATAAAAATGCATTTAAAAATGTGTACATTATTCTAAATATTAATTATGATTAGATTCAAAAATCTTATATTTATTACTTGCTGAAAAATTTGTTAATTAATATTTCGGCGATGTGAATATTAGCATTTTGGGTGGTAAGTGCCATTTTAAGATAAATTTCCGATGTGTTCAGTGTACTGGAAGTACGCATCAAATTGATTAAGTATACCTAAAAAAATTAACTGTAATTATTCTTATAATTAAGTTTATATTTTCATTTTCTTTAAATTAAAAAAAAACTAGGATGATAAAATCTATGTTTTATCCAAAAAGTTAAGATTAAATGTGTATGTGTGTGTAATTATTTGCAAATATTTATATTAAAAAAAATTATTAAAAATTACTTATTTGTATATCAAACTAGTCATTTGTATATCAAACGTAAATTAAATAATAGAATTTTGATATACATTCAAATTTGGTTGTTCTCTTGCTGCAGCCTCGATATAACAGAATTCTTTTCCAGACCAGACCTGCGTAGCTTCTTTCACGAAGTAGACATTAATGGAACATTCATCCTCGGAAATCTTCAATTCATCACTTGAATAAGTTATAATAATTTGTATATTTCTTGATTAAAAGGATATCATTAATTCATTATTAAGTATAATATATTTTTACATAAATTAAAAAGATTAATTACTAAATGTTGAAAACATTCGGTATAAATTGAAAATATTATCAATGAAATATTTTTAAAAAATTAATTGAATTATTTTTATTTGCCTTAATTTATTTTATGAAAATAAGAATTTCATTTCTTTACTCAGTGATTTTCTTAAAAATATTAATTTGTTAAATTATAATTATTAATAATAATTATTAGTACCAGCAATTGTCAGTGTTTGTTATGGGTGAACAAAATATCGCTGTGACAAAAGCAAGAAAAATAAAACTGAGAAGGACAAGACACGCTGCCATAAACGAACTGAAAAGATCGTTCGGCCATCTTCTTAAATGATTTGCAGTGCCCTTAAGCATCAGGCTGTGGTGTTGAATGCTACGAATCGGATCTTCAATGTACACATACGGAAGATCAATGATCTTGTTTTTATCTTCATTCAAGAAAGGAAGTTTGTCTTCGCTAAAACCTAGGAATTTTTTAATTCTTTTTCAAAAATATATAATATTGTTTTAAATAATATTTATTAACAAAATATTATTTGAGTAAATATTAAATATTTTTGTCATAAATATTCTCAAATGGTTAAATAACTTTTCAATGACATACGTCTTATTGACGTTATCATTTAACGGCACCTTATTATATGGATTATTCCATTATCATATATAATTGTATAAAAATATATAAATATATAAACTATTAATATAAATTTTTATAATCACATTATGCAAAAATCAAAGAAAATTTTGTGTCTCTTTACACGTTATACATTATAATTGCAGAATTCTAAGAACTTTCGTAAAGCTGAAACTTAAAGAAATATAATACTTTGTTAGGATGATAAACACTCACATACTTACGTTCAGTTTTCCGCATTTCAACAGTTTTTATTGCACTGCACCTTTAATCGATCTATTTGGACGCTAAAGTCTCGATGTAATTTGACGAGTGAACACTTTTAGCAAAGCCAAGCTGATTTAAATCCAGTCACAGCGATCGACATTGAGAAATCGGTGAGTTGTCCATATTGTGCAATTCAAATGTATCACACTTTCGCAAGTTAAATGCGAATTTGCTCGATAGAGACATTACATACTCTTAGGGCTTATTGATAGTCCGTTCTTATTTCAAGACTGTCTTAATAAGTAATATCTTAAGACGCTAATACGGTCCTCTGATTGGTTCGTGATTTCTTAAGACTGTACTTAAAACGGTCTTGAATATAAGATCTTATTATGAATATCGACCAAATAGTGTGTGTCAAAGTGCATTAGCGTCTTAAGACATTATTTAAGATGGTCTTGAAATAAGAATTGACTATTTATCTAACTTAATATATATAACCTAATACACTGATGGTTAACTTTATCGAATCTGTCCACCGGAACAAGACTATTTCTTTTTACATCACATCTAATTAAGTCGCATGCAATTTAATACGTTATAACAAACGCTTGAGTATTTTACAAGATCTTTTACCCGTAAGATTTACTTTTTAGACAAATGTAGAGCGGACTTTCCTGACTGACGCGATTCAAAGTCTATCGAAACGCGCCACTGCAATTCTCGAAGTATCGAAACAATCATTGCGACACTCGACGGCCATTGCAATATTCGATAAAGAAAGAGAGGGTCTTCATTCACAAAAATAAGAGACGCAGGTACGTTTAATCTCGGACTTCTCTCTGATAAAAAATCATTGAAGTAAGATTTATAGTATTTTGTGATTAAAAATAATGAATTAATAACGACAGTCCATTTAATGTAGTATCATTCGTTATTCTTCTGCCTTTTTATCCTGAATTACACTGTATACATTCATTAAAATGCTTTGGTTAAGTCTCTCATCTTGATTGCTTGAATTGGAAACATTGCAGATTGTACGAAACTAAGGCGAGCTTCAAAGAAGAAATAATGTCAGCTGCAAAGCCTGAAGTAAAGAATTGGAAGGAGCACAATCGTAAACGGAAGGAATTTCGAAAACAATGGAAGGAGGAAAAATTGGCAAAGAAGATGAAGGAGGCGGAATTCGAAAAAGAATCAAAAAATGAGACGCAGGAGTATACAGAAGAATGTAATACGAAGCACGAGCGGAGGGACATCTGTACCATCAGCATAGCGGTACCTGGGTCGATCCTTGACAATGCGCAATCCCCAGAACTACGCACCTACTTGGCAGGACAGATTGCACGTGCTGCATGCATCTATAAGGTGGACGAGATCGTGGTGTTTGATGATAAGGGCGAGATCACGGAGGATGACAAGAGGAAGGTCAAGAAGGACGATACGCTGGGTGAGGCCAAGGTCGGGTGTCTACAACTAGCCAGGATACTACAATATCTCGAGTGTCCACAATATCTGAGAAAGTACTTCTTTCCAATCCACAAGGACTTACAGTATGCGGGTTTGTTAAATCCATTGGATGCGCCACATCATCTAAGACAGAAGGATGAATTTTTATATCGAGAGGGTATAGTTACCAATAAGCCCATAAAGGCTGGCAGAGGTTCTCAAGTGAATGTAGGATTGTTAAATGAAGTTCATGTAGATAAGGTGCTGATGGCTGGGTTAAGGGTGACAGTGAAAATACCACCTGATCAGTCAAATCAAAAGAAAATAAAAGGTATTATTGTACCGCCTAACATGCCACGTATAGAGACTGGTATCTATTGGGGCTATAATGTCAAACTAGCCAAAAATCTAACAGAGGTGTTGACAAATTGTAATAAAGAAGGATATGATTTGATAATTGGAACATCTGATAAGGGAACATCAATCGACGAGATAAAATCAAAGAGTTTAGAGTATCACCACTGTCTCATAGTATTTGGAGGTCTCGCTGGATTAGAAGCTGCCATAGATATGGATCCACATTTAAACGTTGACGATGCATCTCTAGTCTTTGATAAATATATAAATATGTGCCCACAGCAAGGCTCACGAACAATTAGAACAGAAGAAGCTATTCTCTTGACTTTAGCTGAATTGAGAACTAAATTGATAGCTAAAGAAATCTTAAAAGAATAATAGTTGTATAAATGGTAGAAATAGTCAAATAAAATAAATACATTTGTCTGTTCTAAGAACATTATTAAATTTTATTACATTAATTGATACTTTATCAAAAATATAAATCTTTGTACATATTTTACATATCTTTGTATATATTTTATATATATATATAAAATGCCAAATTTATCGCAGAAATGCTTTGTATATTTCCAGTATCCTCAGTTGTCACCGCTGTGTTGAATGATTGTGTCCCAAATAGCAATTTACTGTGTCTCTAAGTGTCGTTATTACTTTAGCTTGATCAGCAGAATTTATAACAGATGTGCCAGATACGATCATATTGGCACCAGCCTAAAAAGTAATATTAACATGAAAATGATTGATTTACAGCAAATTCACATAATCATACACTAAATTAGTATACACTAAAAGTTGCTGTACATAAAATTAATAAATTTAATTGTAAAAACTCAAATATTTTATATGAAATAATGATTGTCACATTATTTAACCGAAAATGTATTGTTTCATTGTCGAAGTTGATTATATTACGCCATTGAATTTAGACATTATATAAAATAGCCTTTTTAATATGTTTAAATCTAGTGTAGTGCGAATGAACAGAGATCAGTATTATAGTTTTACATGTGCCAACGTCTGATTGAATTATTTATATATTGCAGTAAGTAGTCTTCAAATTGCACCTTTGCACAAGCTTCAATTGTAGCTAGTCCAACTCCACCATCAACTTCGATATCTAGTTCAGGATAATTCTCTCTTAACCATGCAACTTTCTTTAACATTGGTTCCATAAATTTCTGTCCACCGAAACCAGGTTCCACAGTCATCACTAAAATCATATCTGCTAAATCCGCATAATCTGTCACCACATCCACAGGTGTTCCTGGCTTGAGTGCCACACCAACCTGTTTTTTAATTGATTCCATTAATTAAATGTAGTAATATTAACAAATATTAATTTTGTAAAGAGTATCAACCTTCATTCCTGCTTCCTTCACTTTCCTGCAAACTAAAGGAACATCCTCTACTGGCTCCACGTGGAATGTGTACTGATCTACACCAGCGTTGGCCATGGGTTCAATCCACTGTAATTATTTCAATAACTGTAAAATGGAGTTTACTTTGGCCAAAATTTTAATAATGCCCACACAGCACATACGTCAAAATCTTAACATAACAGTTTTAAAAGTATAACGTTTTGAGATGTCTTATGTCCTGATTTTGGACATATATACTGTCTAGGTATCTTTAAAAATTTTGACCAAATTAAAGTTACTTCATTTTACAGTAAATTATTAGGCCTGTAAAACGTGTTTACAACAATGTTAGTACATTAACATGTTATAGTTTACGATTTACGTTATGCATACTACAGAATTTCAGAGATAAAAGCAGGCTTTTAGACATAAAAACAGATTCTGAATTTATAAAATTTATGATTCTTAATTTATAAAATTTAAAACATGTTATTTTACAGTTTCAGATGAGGAAAATTCTATTTAACTTTTGCATACACCTGGGATGTTTTTTCGTTATCCAACCAGAAGCTACCACAGTTATCTTCGTCTTCAGAAATCAAAAGACTAAGATAGTCTTAGCCGTGGTTGCATAATGAAAAAACACAAATGGTCTTGAGACAGCGTACTGGTCCTGTTATGCTAGAGATACCAGGTTTGATTTCCGGTAAAACCGAAATATTTTCATACATTTATCCTCCTCTCGGAAGGAAGCGGCAACCTATCGAGAGTATCCTCACTAAAGAACACTTCTCTAAATAAAAACTTCATCGTTCGGAATCGACGTTAACTGTAGGTCTCATATGAACTATGTATAACCAGTGTGCGTACCACAGGCATATGAGAGAAGTCACTACGCTCAGACACAAGCAACAGGATTAAAAAAAGAAGGATACCTGCTCCGGTTTGGATACCATCATGTGTGTCTCGAAGAAAGCATCTTTTATTTTACTACGAAGACACTTGACGATCGGATGACCAAACGTTAGATTTGGAACAAAATGACCATCCATCACATCTAGGTGCAAGTAATCCGCGCCATTATCCAATAACTTTTGCGACTCTTCATAAATTTGTGCCAGATCACTGTTTAAAATCGACGGGCCAATTTTTGCGCTCAAATTCTTTGCCATGCCGTCCGGAATGTATCAACGTGCGCGGATGAGAATGTCCCACGAAACTGCTCCTAAAATATATACGTAAACACATGTGTTGTTCTACACACAGATAAATTAGAATAAAAAGTATTCAGCGTGATGTACATACGTATTACGTAAACAGGCAATAAACGAGATTCATGTATCTGATGATAACCTATATTGCTCAACAATCAACATAAATCAACATGAGCATCAGTGTTGCCGTTACCGCGGGTTAAAAAATAATTTCACTAAATCCTTGCTTCACAATTCATTAAATGGCCCTAAAATTCACCAAATGCGTGGATCACATGACATTTTCCCGAAAAACTAGACTGGATAATGTTGATTCTAAATACCTAGGCAAGCACATTTTAATTTGTACGGATTAGAGCCACTTTCACTAACGCCAGTTAAGCTTATTCATCGATTAACTTCATCACCAAAATTGCCAACAGTAAGACTTAAAAATCTTTCTCTTATTTTTGTTAGTAAAGAAAAAGTATTGTGTGGAGATAAATAAAACATTGAAATATATTTGACTATTTTTTACAAATACATATTATACTTTTGAAATTAAATTAGAGATGAGTTTTCAGTATAGCAGTTGGCAGTACTCAAAGTTAATCAGCGGAAAATAACTGGCGTTGGTGAAACTGGCCTAGTTTCTATCAAAGATTTAAACCAGATCAGAATGTAAGAACCAACCAATTATAGTCAAGCATTCCTCTGTCGTTCGGATCGTAACAGAAGAATACCCGACTGTAGTTGATTGGTTCTTACATTCTGATCCGGTTTAAAACTTCGATGGAAACTGTCTGTAAAATTAAAAATAAAAACTATATATAAATTATGTAGATTGACTGCATTTAGCCAAAAAACACAACTTTAAAATTCTTGATTGGTTTATGTTAATATCTTTGACTATATAACTATGGACTGCTAGTTGACTTTCTCACGCCGTATCAACAAGAAAAATGCCCCTGCCCAAGTGAAATGGTGAATTTCGGTACTTCGATGATATATCTATCATTAATTCAGTATAGTACAAATCTAAATTTATCAGTGCAGTGCTTGATATATATTTCAATTTCATAAATTAAAGAAAAGAAGTTACTATCTACCGAATTTGGCCGGAATCATCGTCATTTCGAGATGGCGAGTGCCATATAAAATTAGAAAAAGAAGAAGATCAAAGTAAAGAAAGAAATTAATAATATTTTACTTTAAAATAAAATTATTTTATGAAGGGAAATGCATCAATATCTAAACAAAAAAATCTTTTGAGACGCACGTTAACGAAAGCTGTAATTTTTAACGGTCAATAATATAACATTTATATAGCTATTGAACATTACAATATTTATATAGCTATTAAATAATATATATATGTTTATTAACACTTGTTATCTATATTTTACTATTGTGTGTTAAATTTATACATGCATATTTTATTTTGATTCTGCACTTTACTAAACCGAATAAAATAATGCAATATATATCATATTCTATCTCTCTCTTTCTTTCTATTTTATCATCGTAACGTGACTGTGTTTTGATTTTTTTGCCATTTTATTGGCGGAAGCACGAATGATGTTTGTTATGCGAGTCTCTTTGTCTATCTTACAGAAAAGATAGGAAGAGTGGGGGGTAACTAGCAGTCCATAGTTATACAGTTAAATGTTAATATAGTCCAATATTTAGATCTAATGAGAAACTGAAAATAAGACCAATAAGAGAAATAGAGGACGTTGACATAAAAATTCACTAAATAAAGAAAGTAACTAAATTCACTAAGTCACTGAAAGATCTTAAAAATCACTAAATTAGTGAAAAATCACCAAAAACGGCAACACTGACGAGCATGCCCGATTCAGATTAGGTTAGTCTTGATTTCTGCTAACACGTGGAAACTGGAAAGTGAAAACTTCTGAAATATGAATGAAATCAACAAACAATTGTCTGGGACATGAAATTTAGTCATAAAATCATGATTTCAAGCTTGATTTCACGTTTGACATTTATAGAACGCTACAAGTCTTATCTGTCATTTTACAATGTAAACAAATCACATTAACGGAGCATATCGAAATGGAGGTTTCTATCGAGACACGAAAACCATCGAAGATCGGCTTATTTTTTATTGCCGCTACAGGTTCGTTAATATTGTTTTTATTATTGAATTTAAATTAATCAGTTGCGCTGATTTTAATAAGCTGGTCTCTCCCTGTGCCGCCAGGCGGAATTGCAACAGCGATTAGCGTCGTGTGTTTTTCATTTATCAGCCCTGCATTTCGCAAGATATGTTTACCGTATGTGCCAGCAACACGTCAACAAATAAAGAATGTTATTCGAGCATTAAACGGCCGCTCCGGCTCCTTGATTGATCTCGGCAGTGGCGACGGACGTATTGTAAGTATGATAATCGCGAGTTATCACGTGAGTTATCGAATCACAAGCAAAGAATATGGTTACTTTTCTTTTAGGAAACAAAATCGACACAAGTATCATTTTATTGTTTGTTATTTATTGAATGTCAAGGAGAATAGAATGACATTTATGTCAATTATTTTTCTTTTAGAAGATTTTGGGTACTTTTCTAGAGACACAGATAATACAGTGAGTGCTTTCCAGCAAGAGATACAAGATCTGTTTTTTATTCCTATACGAATTAGACTGCATTGAACCCTTCTTTCTTGTTCTTGCCAAATTTTCTAAAAATGTAAAAATTTTTTAAAAATGTATTACTACTATTCAGCATAGAAAACAAATCTACAGTATATCACAGTGATCATTTCAGCTTTATTTAATATTGACAAACAAAAAGAATATAATAATTCACTATGTTATATTGTATCATCTATGTCTCTTGTTGGAAAGCACCCAAAGTCTCCTAAAAGAAAAATAGCTTATAATATACACATATAGAAAATATAATTTTATATATATTTAAAATAAGTAAAAAATGCAAGCCAATTTAAGTCAACACTGAACGGTAGCATGTAAAACTTGTGTGTAACATAAAGCCTGTTCTTTTTGGCTAAACTTTTGCACCAGTTTATTTTTCTTCTTTTTTCCTCTGGAAGGAAAAAGGAAGAAAGATGGATTGGTACAAAAGTTCAGTTAAAAAAAACAGACCTAATAATTGACAATTCTATGGTCAACAGATGTTTTGACCATAATTTAGGTCATCTTCAGTGTAACAAATAATAATTAATAACAAATTTAAATATGGAACATTAAATTTTGATATAATATAAATGAGACGCTTTGTAAAACTGATGATATGTCACGAGTGTAATATCAAAAGTAATCATTTATCGATAAAATCTTCAATCGTCTATTTTATTTAGAAGAATACGTATTTAATTCGATATTAAAATATCAGACTGAAATATTAAACGATAGAATATTTCAGTTCAATGTACAAGCTGCTTCAAAACTTACATTATAATTTAAGGTGTTATGAGTCGTCAAATAGAGCATATTCATATCTGGTAAAACACTTATTTCAAGAATTCTTAATTAATAAAGAACAAGTGAATGTATTTATAACTGTTAGAATCATAAATAAATACAGAATAAAGGAAGGGCGTCAACTTTTGTGGGAAGTGAACAGAATACTCCATTAGAATTTTTCATGTATAGAATTTCAGACATGAACTATTTTTTCAAAATAACTATTGTTGATAATAACTACTTTTTTCTGCCTTGAGAAGATTGAAAACGTATATTGTTCTTCGTTGCAACAAGTTCAATTTCAGAGATTAGCTTTTTATTTATAATATTTTTTCCTTGTCTAAAATCTTAACATTCTTCCAGTCAGTCATTTATATATGTTATATACATTATATGTTATATACAATACATTATATAACGGGATATAATTTTTATGAACAATTCTTATTAATATAATTTTATAAATATAAAATTTTAATTAATGACTAGAAGTTTAACAACTTTAAAAAGAGTATTCTTAAAAAAATACAATTGATAACCCTATATGCAAGAGACATACTCCCTGATGCAAAACAGGGATAAATTTTTTCTCTCTTTCAACGATCGCAACAAATGATAATTTATAAATAGGTTCTCACAGCTGCAAAGCGTGGCTTTAAAGCCTATGGTATTGAATTAAATACCTGGCTAGTATGGTATTCGAGGCTTCAAGCACTGATTAACGGTCTGTCGAGCGACACTGCGTTTCACAAACAAGATTTATGGAAACACCACCTAGGAAAATATGATAATGTCGTTATATTTGGAGTAGAACAAATGGTACATTTTTCCTTAATATTCATCGTGACCTTTGAGAAAAAAGAAAATGTATATCAAGAAATCGTCTTTTTTACAGATGGAAGATATTGAAAAAAAGTTTAAAAGCGAATTGCGCAAGGATTCCCTCGTAATTGCATGTAGATTTCCTCTTCCTAACACGCATCCTGTTATGACGATTGGACATGGAATTGATACCATTTGGGTTTATAAGATACCTCAGAGTTAAATTTAAGGTAACAAAGGATATATACTTAGATTGAATAAATTATAATACAAAATAATTGTTGTGTATTTAATACTATTATTATTATACTGAATTTAATACAACATTAACGATCTTTGTATTTATAGTAAGAAAATAAATCTGTATTATTCCTAGATTAATGTGCCGTGAATAATTAAATAAATTATCAATATGATTGGAAATGGAACTACAATATTCAAACTTTAAATACGAAGCGCCTTACAGTTCCGAGTTAAGATGTTGAACTAACATTCATTTAAATTAAATTAACCCTTATGTGGCCAACCAGGTACCCGGGTACCTATGGTCGCACATTTTGTTGAATAACTTTTTTTCTTAAAAATATTGACTAAAATCGTCTCGGATCTCCATTATTTGACCGATTTCCTATAAAATTATGCATTAGAAAGTTTTTTTTTTATTTATTTTCACAAAAAATTTCGAAAATTTTATTTTCAAAAAAAGTAGTGCTGGAGCTTCCCCCACCTCCGTACGTTTCGTTCTAAATCTGTGAACACTGGGTATACATTCGTTTCAAAAATATTCTAGAACATTACTCAGGTATAGAAGAATGTAGAGATCCTTCTACTTCCCTACCTTTTTAGTTCAATGCACCTGGCCTTCGAAATAAAGAGGGTAACGGCATAGCTGCCAGCGTTTTATATCTGACTAAGGATAACAAAAGGTCACTATATACAATAATACTATTATATTTAGCTTAGAATATATTCGTCAACTGTAAATAAATCAATATCCATCAAATAGATAAAGATAACTAAGGCTACAGCACGTTTTTAGCCATAAATTTGTATAGAGGTACCCGGGTACCTCGGTTGGCCCCGGTACAAGATTTTTTGGTTGGCCACATAAGGGTTAAATTA